CTAACCAGAAAGACAACTCTGTGAATACGTTAGTTCATGTACTACGCAGTATCTCACGAAGAGTTGTGTTATTCTCGAACGGCTTCAAATATTTCTTGTTTACTTTTTATAGCTCTGCAGTTGAGTAATAATTATACCATAAACCCGGGAATCGTTTGCGCCCGTTTTAGTTCTCGAATTGTGATGACAGACCATTTTACGCCCGCAAACGTGTGCGGGTGGAGTCAATTTGATGATTGACTCGAGTCTACAGTTTCGCGTTTCGCGCCCACTTACTTTCGCGATTTCACACCCATCGCAAAAAATCCCGAACGTTTCAGGATCGCGCAGGTTTCTGGGTCGACAGTACCGTTGATCCGCTCTCCACACCATGTCGCTTCCCAGTTGGTTTTGAGACCGGGTGCGGGAATCGGATCAAGGCTTTCAAGTACCAGTACTACTGCACAACAACAGAAGCGATCAGACTTGCCATGCTGGACTGTGCACATTTTCACTCCAGCCTTACCTACAATGGCACATGTTGTGTATAGCAGTGCTTGCGTCGGTTCAACATCATACATTGATGCATGCGCTGAAGTCGCTTCACGGGTTGAAGTTCGACAGGGGAGGGGGAGGGGGGGGGGGTGAGAGAAGGGAGCGGATCAACGGTACTTTGCTGTACCCGACGGGTTTTTTTGGATAATGACTTCACCTTAGCTCATTGCTGGCCTGCATATAGAACGGAGGTCCCTGGCTGGAATCCTAGTGGAGACAGTCAATTCTTGGGTCAGAACTTTTCCCTTTTCAATCCCTGAAAATGATGAATGTATCGGACAACTGAAATTTATAGAAAAGCAAAAGGACCAAGGAACTACAAGTTACGCTATAATGTCCACTGACACCACCAGTAACTAAACAATCAGCTCATGCGCTAACATGTTCCTTGGTCCTTTCCTTTTCTATAAATTCATCCTTGGCTCTCGATCTGAGTCCATTCTTGCACACCTCTTTTTCTCTTTGTCTATTGTTGTACGTGCAGAGGGAAATACTATACAGTGCAGGCTATTTCCACCTTGCCTCCACAGCAGCATGTGTGACAGGAAAAGCAACTCCAATACGTTCTACTGCCGATGTAAATCAGGCTACTCCGGGCGTTCCTGCACAGATGGTGAGTTTGCGTGTGTGTGTGTGTGTGTGTGTGTGTATTTGGGTATGTGTGTGTGTGTGTGTGTTTGGGTGTGTGTGTGTGTGTGTGTGTGTGTGTGTGTGCGCGTGTGTGTGTGTGTATTTGCGTGTTTGTGTTAGTGTGTGTGTGCATGTTGTGTGTGTGGGTGTATTTGTGTGTATCTGGGTGTGTGTGTGTGTGCGTATGTATGTGTATGTTCGTGTGTGTGCAGTCGGGGCAGGTGAGTGAGTGGCAATTTTTCTCTCTCTCTCTCTCCTTCTCTCTCTGCTTCTCTCCTTCTCTCCCTCTCTCCCTATCTCCCTCTCTTCGACCACAGATATAGATGAGTGTGTTTCCAGCACCAGGCCATGCAATGCCACTCAGACCTGTGTCAACACATACGGTAGCTACACCTGCCAGAACGGTATGTTGACAGTATTTCGACGTGCTTTCTCTCCCTCTCTCATGTTGTGGCCATTCCTTGCTGCATGGAGGACCAGGTTTGCCATAGACCAGCTTGAGTCATTCAAACTAACTTATTAGTAAAGAACATACACACTGTTTTCAACTTTCCCTCAAACCGTTGAAAACATACTCACGTTGGAATATATGTGCTCGCATCCACACACGCCCATGTGCATACACCGCAACACACATCCATATGTAGGCACATGTGCAGACTACAAAGAAGTGTTTTTTCTGTTAGAGCAAATATGCTGCAGAGTGTGCTACATAAGAGGAAATAGAATTTTTTACTTTCTCATCTGATGTCTTGCATTTGATTTTCTTCCCTCGCCCTTGCTTTCAGGTGTTGAACCTTGTGCGGCTGGTTCATCTTCTTGCAATGTAAATCCGGCGGCTGATGATTGCAGCCACTGCACTGATGCTGATTCTGGTAGGTGCTACGGCGATGAGATTTGAACTACTGTAGAAAAGAAAAAAGGACCAAGGAACTACAAGTTACGCTATAATGTCCACTAACACCACCAGTTACCAAACAATCAGCTCATGCGATAACATTGCACGTTCCTTGGACCATTTTCTTGGTCCTTGGTCCATTTTCTTTTGTATAAATTAATCATCGGCTCTCCCTGTGAGTCCATTACTGTGGAAAGGCTAATCGTAATGGTTAATTTGTTTGTAGCGTTTCTGGATCAGGACCAATTCATGATGAAATTCTTGTAGCTACTGATGGTTCGAGGGAATGGAAATTTCACTGATCCGGATTTCAGGGGTTTAAATAAAGAGATGACTTCTACTGTACCGTGTATGCAAAATTTCGATTTTCGGACCAATTCGCGATGACATTATTGTAGCTATATAGTTTGAAGGAATGGAAATCTTAGCTATCCGAGTTCCAGGGTTGTTGTTGTTGTTTGGCTATATTTAGAGTGGAGTTCCAAAACAGGCCTGAACCTAATGACAATGGTCCCACTGATAATAAGTGAAAAGAAAAATATATAAAAATAAGCGGACAAACAGAACAAAGAAGAAGATAAGTTAGATAACTAATATGAGCACGGCAGCAGGGAGGGTTGAAAAAGAGATGATTTGTACTGTACCGTGCATGCAAAATTTCGATTTTGCAGAAAAGGTTGAGTGAAAACGCTCCTTTGGCTAAAATCGCTTAAATATCACCGGCGCTAAAATCAGCCGTTTCACAGTAACAGCAAGATTATTGGAGTTTACACGTTCGATTATAGGCAGATTGTTCTCTGTATTATGAGTCGGTCCCCCTGATGGGGAGGGCCCAGTTCGCTCACTACCCGGCGGATGCGTCACTATGCTGTGAAGGGAAACCACCCAAACGTGCATGGATGCAGACACACTGGACCCAAGTGGGTCCAAGATTCTGTAGAGAAGCCAAGATGCACGTTATTTCCGACGTGACGCGCCATTTCACGTCAAATTTGGCGTAAAACTCCAAATATCGACTGGAGCTGCAGGTCACTTGCGCTGTGTTTGGACGCGCGAGCCTACTACCGCGAGCTGAACTTTCGCGTCACGTCGGAAATAACGTGCGTCTTAACCTCTGTTGTGTTGTCATGACTCCTATAGGGCATGAACTAATGTACTCTTTTTTCTTTTTCTTTTAACTTTGTTTTACTTCGCTCTAAAGTTGTCATGACTCCTATAGGGCATGAACTTTCTACTTCACAGCGGGGCCAGAGTCATTACTGTGCTGACTGACTGTTGATTCTACAGTAAAACCTGGTTTAAGCGACCACCCCACGGTGCAAGCAAAAGCGGTCGTTAAAGCCAGGTGGTCTTTAGAACCAGGTCCCGCAGTGTGTGTGTAGAACTGTCGGTGCATGGAAAACGGTCGTTAAGAGCAGGTGGTCGCTAAACCCAGAGGTCGCTTACACCCGGTTTTACTATAATTGTAAGAAGATGTTGTGGCAGTTTTCTCCACAGATGATGACTTGACTGAAGTTGATTTTTGTGAATTCTACTTTTTTGTGTTATTCTTGTTAGAGGACGAACGGTTGTCCAACTTGCTGAGACGCGTCGAGGAGAAAGTGGAGAGGAGAAAGAATCGCAAGACGAAGAACAAGGAGCGCTTTCGCAAGCTTCTGCTGCGCGTCAACAAGATCGCCGAGGCCATACGGCAGATTGCCGGCACCAATGGCACGGATGTCAACGCCACCTAGAGAGGGAGGGAGAGATCATGGTGATGCGAATACAAGCCTGACAACTGATATGGCAACATTAACGTGTTGATTGGAACATACTGGACTTGTGCTGAGTTTACACTGACAGCGACAGGCAACAGTAACCGTTCTACTAATTTTCACTGTTGATTTAGAATTTCACAGTTTTATTGATATGAATTTAGGCCGAAACAGTCTGGCTGTCTGCATCATTGCATCATTGATTTTGAATTTTATATAATTTATCTGCACCTGCCGAAGAACTGAGTTCTATGCGTGCTTGCTCTTTATTTACTCGATGTCAAACCTTCGCTCCAACACTTCCATATAATTATATTTCCTGATTTTCTTGCTCTTTGCTGTCGCTTTGGCCGACCGATTTGTGTCCATTCTCCGTCTGGATTTGCTCCCCTACAGTCTCACCCCCGCCCTTCCTATAGCTTTATTGACACTTGACAGATTCACAGCCTCTATAATTATTCTGTTGAGCAATGCTTCTTTCCTTCCTCTCTTTTGCACAATACCACATGTTTTTTTGGGTTGAGTGACAGTTTATAGACGGAGCCACATCACACGACGGCCCACTAGGCGAACGATATACGTTATTACTTCAAGTGCTGTCATTTCACAAATTTTCGGCGTGCTTCTATTTTCGGCACTTTCGATGCATCTGTTTCATACCTAAACTTTCAATAACCGAGCAAACACTGATACACTTAATTAAATAGGGGAACTGCTTCTCTGTGCCTAAATTTCCTGTTCACCTAATCTGGCCTTTTGCTCTCATACCGAACAATATGAGCACGTAACATTTCTGACATGAGAGTACAGTGATGTACTCTTTGTTCAACCCTAGCAGGCTCTGTGAACACATCTGTACTGTACTCCACATGAAGTCTCATTGCCAGTTTTAACTTAAATGTGCAAGACAATTGCCTGTTTGATGCATTGCGCACAGAGAAGATGCACGGCGTTTTCGCGTCGCAGCTGGTTATTAACCCTTTGTGGGTCTTACTCAATGTATGTGAGGGGTGGTCACGCAAACACGCGTACAAACAACGAGCCATAACTCAAGTTCCGTGAGTTGTAGGTATGGGTAAACTATATATTTTCAAAATCTGTATGCCTGGACGCGTCCAGAAAACACAAATATGACTATGTCCAGGCAAGGATGTGACCCGTGGTAGCCCTTCAAGTTGAGAGAAAATACAATTGCGAACAAAAAAGCACAAAAATCACAGCACGAAGTGCATACCAAGTTCGTGATGGAGCTGAAATCCTATGATAAACAATCAGGCAAGCGCTACGTCTTGGTGAAGAATATATGCTCCTAATCCCGTCCTTGAACTCCAATACCTCGCCATCGGCGATGCACCAGCAGCAACAGTTCCACAATATCACAATTTTGGTTCGTTCACCTCAGCGCCGCTCGCGTCAGATTCACTCTCGCTCAGATGAGTACTCAGGCGCGATGTCACGCGTGCCGTGATTCTCACGGCCAGGCGAATCAGCTGATCGCACCTGACAAGTCCTTGTGAGAGTTGCTGTTGCTGTGCTTCCTCGCTGGTTGGTAAATTTGATTTCTTCATTCGGGGACGATTAATTTGAGCTAGGAAGACTCAACGGAGCTCTCTTTCTCACGACATTACACTGGAAATCCTCCAGAGACATCCAGCCTAGACTGGTGCCGTCAGTGTCCCCAGAAAGCTTTTCTGACACGGCTTCAAGAGATGCACTCCCATTCTCGAAATGCGCGCATGGCGGATGGTCGTCTTTTCCAATTTCACCAGACTTCAGTCGATCGATACTGCAAAAATTTGTATGGTAAGTATGGTTGTTTTTTACACCGTTGGAAAGCCTGGGACCTCAGCTACGAGTGGAGCACCATTTTAGTTGTCTCCTAGCAACAAAACTCACAGAAAATGCGATTTTACTGTAAGGGTCACATACGACCCTTACGCTTATGTGAGACCCATAAAGGGTTAAAGGTAAATATTATACCAGAGGTTTCTTTCTGGGTTGTTGAATTGCCGGATATTATCATGCACGTGCATGGTCGCATTAGGGCCAGCAGCTGTGTCCTGCAGTCCCTGAGCGGCCGGCTGAGGGGAAGTATCCGCTGCATACATGATGTTGAGCCATCTGTGCGACACTTGATGTCCGGATCTTTCCATGCTGCCTATCCTGCTGCTCATTGCCACATTGGCTTGCCTTGATCATTTTGTTATACACATAATGTAGTAGTAGTAGTAGAAACAATTGAACGAATTCACGGTTCCGGCTAATTGCTAATGCCTGCAATGCAGGAACTACTGTACTCTCCAGATCCACTCTGCGCTGTGGTATTATAGTGTCAGGTACCGGTACGCGGTATCCCCTTGCATTGTTTAATCATCTCACAGTGCTGGTTTTTTTACAGTTGGCTCATTCTGAAGGCTTGAAAGTTGAAACACTTCATGAATCTTCTGATTTCGCAATCTGCATTTTGTATAACTAATTCGTATGCAACGACGCAAGTCCACACAATCCTTTCATCTATCAAACGTTTCTTTCCCTTCTCTTCAAGATGGTACAGGATGTGGCAGACCTTTGGAAAGATATAACCATAAGAGTTGGAATAAAAGCAAAGAATGAAAGAAAGAGACAACACATCAACATACATGTACAATGTACTACACATGTACATGACTGTACATTGTAGGTGATGTCACTGATGTGTGTCCAGAAGGAGAATGCCATTGTGTTATCGTTGCAGTTGTCACTTGTCAGGTGTCACACCTCGTGAAAGTGTGACTAGTGTTTCTGGCTAGGTAATACAGTATTCACGGTGTTTGTCTACAACCATTCCTGTATACACATACATGCAGTCATGTACATGTACATGTATGTGTATGTCCGTTTACACAAATATTTGAAATGTGAAAACACTTGTTTGTCTCGATCGGAGCAGGACAGCAAGCATGTGATTCAGCGACAGAAAGCCTCTGGAGTTGAACGGATAGACAATAAAGTAAGTACTAGTATTACTATTATGTATGCATGATAGCCAGTACATGATTGTACTGTATGTGATCTGGCTGGCCGCTAGTAGTAGTATTGTAGATCGTTCTTCTACTAAAGAACCACACTGCAGGAGCTGGTGGCTCACTTCCTGGACAATACCGCTTTACGGTGATCATCCTCCAGATTTTCTCCACATCCGGCACCTTTCGTTGCCCATACAGACCGTGTGATCAATGCTCGTTTGGCGGTTTGACCGTTTCTCTGCGAGCTGGAGGCTGATCCGACCGGAATTCCGTGGGTGATTGTGGAAAATAGCCGAAAAGGATACATGGCAGCCAGTAGACATTATAAAACATCATTGTCCTCATCTTCCGTTCTCTACATACTGAATGTGATCTGTGGGATGTTACTGCCCTGTGTGCTTGACCGTGTGTCCGTGTCTCATCGGTTCACACATCTAGTCAGTATGGAGTGTCAAGGCAGTTCCCCCCCGATTCCGGAACTACAAATTTAGTTATAAACTCAGAACGAGTGAAACAGTGTTTATCCCAGATTTATTCCTTCGCAGCTACACTCAGATACGCATGAACGGGCAGCTTTCTGTATTTCCTCATTGTAAACTCGTAGTCTAATAATACAATGACTGCCTTCTGAATTTCAGCCTCCTCACAGGCTCACACTGTCACGGAGTCCATTCAAGAATCAAGATTGTATTTTCTTGATTCATGCAGTCTACGATGTCCATGAGCGGTAGATTTGCCATGCTCTCTTCATGCCCATCTGTTACCGTTGGCAGTCTTACATGAATCCTTCTACTTTGCAGTAAACATTACTGAAATTCTGGAAACGTCTATCTCACGATTCCTCACTTTGTTGGTGTATTTGTCTGCCATGTACATTGTACATGTACATGTACATGTAGGTTACATGTAGGTTGGTCTCCCTGCAGGCGGTGAAAACATGACTGTTACATGTAAAAATTGGATTGTTTCTCAATGCATGATTTCAATGCGTTCAGAAACAATCCAGCCTGCTCACACCAAAGTTTCATGTGAGGTTGTGAACATAGCCAATCCACAAAATTTACTACAAGACACTAATCTTGACGGGACTCAGATGGTGACCCAAGGAAATGAATAATTATTGTGACATGGAAATTGTGGGCACAAGTTGTGCGATCGAGTCCAGCAACTAAACCAGATTTTGAACAATCAGACGTGCAATTTACCCTGCTGTGGGCTACCAAATCTCCCAGACCCTGCTGTTAAAAGGACCTAACCCTTGTGCCTGCTGGCTGCCTTGCTTCCCTCTCCTTGTCAGTTTTGTGATAAATTGAGCGCGTTTGACTGTTCAAAATCTGGTTTAGTTGGTGGACTCGATCGCATAACTTGTGCCCACAATTTCCATGTTACAATCTTGATGGGGATTGGCGAAGTTCACGCTTGTTGTGATTTAGACTCAGAGAACTCAGGTTATGATACCTTCGAGAAGTAGGCATTGGCGGATAATGCCCGAAAAGATGGCAGATTCTGCTCGAAAAGCAGTGAAATTGGCAGAACCATACAAACCTTATGGCAGGCAATTCCTCGAATTCTGCTCGTTTTCTTTATCCACATACCAAACATGCATGAAACTTACCAGAAAAAGTACCGAATTCTGCCAATTTTTCTGCCGGCATTATCCGCATATGCCTATCGAGAAGAGAATCTCCTACCACTACCAGAGCCTTCAGTCAAGTGAAGTTCTTTGTACATGTACAATATTATTGGAAATCGGGCCACCTGCCTACTGACAGTGCTGGTCCTCTCTCTCTCCGAAACTCAGCACGTGCAAGCCAGATGCAAGAGGAAGAAAGTTCATACACTCTTATTCCGTCTGTGTGCCGTTTTATTTGCCCTGCCATCCGGCATAGAGTCATGAGTGTCTAGGAATTGAGGCTGCACAGCACTCAGCTTACTTCGAGTACTTCGAGGTCAAAGCTGGAAGGCACTTGGTCGTGGCTTGGAGGCTGCACAGGGTTTATTTCTTTCGTTTCGGCCGTGGCTGCCATACACTGGGGATATGGAGGTGAGACATGGGGACGCTGCCATACACTCTTGTCTTGATACAGGCGTGTGAGGCTGTGAGCCCGCCTCTCGACACTGGAAGTACAGCTCGCTTGACTCAGTCTCTACTGAGCGGAGCGTACCGATACCTTGATGTACATGTAGTTGATGTGGTGAGTTACCAGGTTACATCATGGGGAATCAAGCACTCTGTTACTTCCTGTTAAAAACCTCGTACGCTTCAACTTTCAAGTAACAGTTGAGTTAGTTCAAGGTCGGAAGACACTTGGCCGTGGCTTGGAAGTTAGTTAGTTGGAGGTTGCATGCACAGCGCTGAAGCAAGCACTCTGTTACTTCCTGCAAGGCCTCAAGCGCGACCATTGGTTGAAACCAATCGAGAAGTCAGCTACACGTTACCCTATTGAATTCAATGTACACACAGTACTTAAAGTACTTTGAAACTATCACTAACACTAACACTAACACTACAGTTACAATTACTTGCATGATTGTGTAGAAGAAGATAGGGTAACTGTTGTACTAATGTACTAATGGTGGTAGTGTTCGTGCGTGGGAGTGTGGGGAAGGCCTCTTTTACGGGCAAAGCAAAGCACAATCATCACCATGTATCAGTACAGTGAGTAGTTAAACCCAACACGAATGAAAAATGAGAAATGGAATAAAAACAATATTTGTAAAAAAAAATTCAATATCGAACACGAAAAAAATAAAATAAAAATATGTAAAAAATAAAAAAGTGAGTGGGAGTGTAGTTGCTTAGTAGAATAGTACTATACTAGACTAGTGCTGTTGCGTGTTCCAGTACGGGTGGCGATGACCAAGACTAAGGCAGTATGGGCCGATGTCCCATGATGGTGATGGTTTTGTGTAGTATGCTGCGAAAAGTTCTACACGTCGTACTACATGTGTTAGATGTGGCTGCCCCATACAATACTGCCACTACTGGCCATAGCTTACTGCTTAGTGGTAGAGCATCGCTGGGCCTCACTCGTTCGATTCCTGGTGGTGACCGTCAATATTTTCTTCGCCTTTTCCCGTTGTCACCTTTCCCTCAAATGGTCATGTCATTATTATGTGGAATGACTATAACATAGGGAAATACAATGTAGTTCTGAAGACAGTGAAGTGTTCACCAAGCTACATGTGGTTGTGAATGTGATCAGAGTATTATGGCAGGGAGTGGAAGCCACCAGTATGCGTGACAAGATTATCAGTTTATTCTCGTCGAGAAGGCAATCACGCAAAGCACACATGTACCGCGTTGCGTGTGCGGATGTATTCACTTGTACTGTCGTACCCTAGAAATACTTCCTTTACAACACTCGTATCTCAGTAACATGTAACACGTTATGAAGTAAAAACATTAGTTGATCAAAGGTGATCAATTTTGTAATGTACAGTTACACACAAGCGGAAAAACCGTCAGAGATCAAATTCCATTACACATTACACACACTTTCCATTACACATGTACAGTTACTAGTAGTAGTCTCTAAATGACCTTCTCAATTCTCCGAGACAAAACTTGTTTGACAGACTTTGTCCCTTCTCCCCCCGACTCACTTGTGAGGTCTGCATTCGACACTGAGCTGGCTATGCATGAATGCAGGGGGGGGGGGACAGTGGTCGGGCGTGGATGCGAATGGCCTTGCTTGATGACTGTGTTCCTCAATACGTCAGGTGATGCGGCCGCGAATCCGGCGAACTACTACAGTATTCTTACTACAGTTTCTCAGTAAACACAATTATTAGATTTTACGTGTACATGTACAATCTAATTCTACACTGTCAAACTACTGCAACGGTATTGCCATCATCATCTTGCAGTAACACTATCTACTAGAATAAGTGCTAGATTAGAACTGTTAGTTTACAGTGTGGCAGCCTTGGGGAAGAGTGGACCATGCATCGACGACATAATGATTGTCATGTAGTTATATACACAGTACTGTACATGACAATCAAAAAGTCATGTGACGAGTAGTTATTGTACGAGTTGTTACATGTACGTTGGTGGCAATGGTGTACTTTTGTGTAAGTTTTGAGACTTTGTGGCAGAGAGGAAACCCCCTGGCTTGGTCTGTGATTGTACATGTATATTTTACAGGCACGTGTATGCGCTGGGACTAACAAACACTGCAGTAGACTGTTCTAATACAATTGTACTGTCAATGAGTCAGTGACTGCTGCAGGGGAGTGACGGTTGAATTCTCTTGTACTAAGTTAGTTAGTTGTAGTCACTCACACATACAGCGCCACAGGAACTACTGAGTACTGTGCATTCCAACTAAGTTACTTGTTTCATTGCTCAGCGTATACACTTTCAAATCCAACCTCTTTGTGCCAGTCTCATCCTTGCATACACTGTACATGTACATGTTAACCAGGCACATCATTGTGCCATAGAAATCGAACATCACCAGCAGGAGAACGAAAATCTCATACACCAAGACATGAGATTTAGCGCTAACGATCACCATGGTAAAATGCGACTCACAATTCAGCAGGAAGTACTTGATTGTATACTTTGACAGTGTGTTGAGCAAACTAGCAGCTTTCTTGGCTGCCTGTGATTCTAAAAGTTAGTCGTCTCCTAAACTAAATCCCTAGTCACGGAGTCTCACGCTAGTGCTGCACTGACACTCAGTTTATGCACATATTCAACGACCTACTACCTACTGGTAGTGGTAGTGTCTAGGACTAGTCACAGACCTGTAACTGATTAGATCCGCTTGAAGCTGGACTATTCTGGGGTTGGTATTCAGCGCCAGCTAGCTGGGGCACTGCCCGTACCGGTCGGCCACACCAGAAAGTACAGGACGAGGTTCGTGTAGTTAGTTGAACACAACTCCTCACGATTCGACTTCATCAAACTCTACCTGTCTACATACACTCATATCAGTACGAGAACATTATTGTTGTCCAGCGTACCGCGGCCCCGGCGCGGTCGCGAGTGAATCATATCCCAAATCTCTTTGCCTTGGCCTTATCACCAGCAAGATCACATGTGCAATCAGCTGTTTCGCTCCGAGCTAGCTGTCAAAACTCTCCCGATCACATGCATGCAGTCCATGGCACGCGCATACCTGCAAAGCGTGATGCATGCATGTCTGACTCACGCAGGTACTTGCACAGCCAAAAAGGCTGCACATGCAGAGCTTTCACGCTCCGTTTGATCTGGCTCACACAGCGTTCACAAGTCACCTGGTCCCGCTGCTATTGGCCTTGTTATTGCACTTGGCTTGAGTCTGGACCATGTTCGACGTTGACACACACGCGGGCACTGTCAGTCCAGAGCCAAGCCAGGCCAGAGCCCAGGTATGCATCATTGCAATGCAGGGTAGGGGTCATCTGCATACACAGCTTGATTGATTGTGTCGTTGCGAATGACAGAGCAAGCTCTCTGCGTGCGCGTATGCCCTGCTACAGTCTTTACAGACTACATACACTACCATACGGTTCTCACTCTCAGATTGAGTTTGTCGTAGTTGGCTTACTTCTCGAATAGGTTGCTCTCAGCTATGGTCGTCGTTGGCGCTGGCCACTATTGTTGGAGGCAGTAGTGCTGGCCGAGGTAGGAAGAAATCCACATCCACCTACAGATCCGTGATCTGAGCGCACTCTGACCGGTCTCTGCTGGATACATACCTTGCACGTCGTTTGTTTCATTGTCGTGCTGTTACTAGTGTTAGTGCGAAGGGCAGGCATCACCTGGAAATCAAGAGGCTTTGTTGTTGCACTGCTTTGATAAATTTCGCACAATGGTTTGCTTGAAGTCAGCACTAGGGCACCAGCATTCTTCAGCCATGGTGTCTCGTTCCTCACATGGGACACTCTTCATCAGCGTTCTCTTGGCGTACAGCTTGCTGTTGTTGAGTCCGCGTGCGGAGGCCACCCTGATCTGGTCGCAATGGTCGACTTTCAGTGCTTGTCCTAGTATTAGTGACTGCGGTATCCAGCCGATGCAGAACAGATCGAGGACGTGCGTGGACGCGACCATTCCCGACTCGGCTGGTGGTGGCTGTGTGGGCAATGCTAGCGAGCAGCGTCCTTGTGGCACACTCATACCCTGCTCAGGTACGTACACTACAGTCAGGACAAGGAGTGATTTATGTCTTTCAACAATGATATTCTTTCATTTCGTGAATGCATGAACACTCCCAAAGCCAAGAAACCGCCTCTTGTGTTTCTTCTTTTACTTTCTTCTATTCATCATTGCCAAGTCGTCGTTTGAGAGTAGATTCAGCAAATTGCGTTAGATGGTTAGCCAATGTAGCCTCGTTCGTACCGAGTATAATGTTTTACTAGTGCTGTCAGTGTCAGTGAATGTTTTGTAGAAAGATTTTTGTTGCTCGATCGTACACTGTTGAACGGCTGTCTGTGTTGCACGGTTGTCCGTGCAACATGTTCCAGTCTCAGGTAGGGGAGTACGAGTCTCTGTTTGACTTGGTTGTCCTCCCCCCTTGATCCTGATTTGAAGTCTGGTGTTTGCCTAGCCGAAGGTAGCTAGCGAGTCCTGATGCTATGCACCATGTGGTGCGTGTAGGGATGGAGCTGCCTGGGCGCAGCTGTGTCCGCGAGATGTAAGACATGTCAGCCGTGCACGAAGACGGAATTTGAACAGCACAACTACTGTAGCTCCAGCTAGCAACACGCCACTGAAAACAGTGGAAAATAATTGAAAGAAAAAAAGCGATCGTTGACCATCATTCAGTCATGCATGTGATAATATGAACGAGCCTACTATCTCCCCGACCATCTCAGCTGATTCCTGTATCCCAACAATCGCGGCGTGACCTCGCAGATCGCTGCCACACTCTGCCCCATTTCAATCCGTGTTTTGTTGTGCTTGGGGTATGAAGGGCCCCGAGCTATCCACTCCATTCACGGGCGTTGATTATCATTTTCATGTGTTCGACCTACTGGCGGTGACGATTTCCGTGGATTCACCACAGCGGATCAGTTAGACCTTTCTCAGCGAATCGATCCTATTTCCTGCCGCTTGTCCAGTGCGTTCTGCGCCATGTCTCTGAGAGGTGCACTGTGTATACGCGTAACCTTGGGCGCTCATCAGAAGCGTCTCGTTGACGAGGTGCTTCTGCTGTTTGCTTTTCTTGTGTCTTGGCTTGTAACGCTCGTACACTGTCGTATCGAGGTGAAAGAATACCTAACGCAGCTGCATAAAATAAATTTTGTTGGCAGTAGAAATGGAATTTTCTCTCTATTGCTGCGACAGCTGACAGTTCACCTTCTCATTCAAGCGACAGTGATTGTTCAGCTCGACTTGTGACTTGTGAGCATGATCGCCGCCGTTTGTGCGGGTACTACTACTGGTGCTAGTGTGAAAGGTCAAGGTCGAAAAATGTTGACGTGAGCCCTACCCTGCAGCTCTCCACCACCAGCGCTACACAGAACAGCACGCCGTTGACATTCTCCAGCGTGCTGCTCAAACCGAAAACTTCGCTGATATTTTTTTGATATCGCCCGCCATGCCGACGGTAGCTTATCTGCGTGTTTCTTTTCTGTGTGTCTCGGCCTGACTGTCGAATTTCGTACCATGTACCAAAGAAGTCTTCTTTTCCGAAGCTGAAGTCCTGGCTCGTCCGTCCCAGTACATACACGATCGACGCAGTGTCACTCCAAAAGCATCGAGTCAAAATGGGGGGAATTACCGGTACGACCCAGACGCGCTCGTACACGCGATACTAGACTGTCACTGAGAGATGCTACGAGTGCCACTTCAGTCTTCGTTGACGCGTGTAGCACTGAAAAGGATTGCAATTATTTTTCGCGAAATCAAACTCTCGACTATCGCAGAAGGAATGCCGGTGGGAGAATGATAGAAATGAAGCATGCCGAGCGAGCTGCACTTCGTTTGCCGCCATGCGGCCGAGTGGATCAGACAAGCATTCTGCAGTGTGCTGTGTTGTTGATTCTCGTTGATTTTGCACAACCGTGAAAGAACGTAGCTGCAGAAAGAATCAGTTTGGTTCTTGCTCGATCGCCGCACTATGTTGTAGGATATGAGGGCAGTGCATTTGATAGATCAGCAGCTACTCATACTTCTTGTGTACACGTAGTGGTGTAGCACTGCTATCGCATCCACTGACTACAACTATTATTACTTCAAGTACAACGAGTCCTCAGGCAAATCAAGGGAAGTAAAGCAGGTCTGTCTTTGCAGTTTCGTGTGTCGGCGTCAGCTGATCCTCGTCTCGCTTGGCTTCCTGCGATCGAAGTGGCTGCATGCCTTGCACGCTGAACGCGCCGACTGGCCTTCTTCAATACAGATGAGACGAGACGCAGAATGCACGTGCGACTTTCAAGTTTCAGTGTGAGCGACGTGTGGTACGGCTATGCCTCGTATGACTATGATCCTCCACTGGCAGTGGCCTTCGTTCTTTCGTCCTGAGCATGAGACGTTCTGTCGTTTGTAGGGTAATGTAGGAGCAGTTGTGACGGCTTTTGATCTGCGCGTCAACGGCGATACATTTTATCTGCGAGTCTAGAAGCAGCACAAATAATAATTGACCTGTCAGCACGTCACCTGGCGATGTGGATCTATTTGTGCAGGAGCTAGCGGTCAATTATGTCCTGAGAATAAATAGGCTGATCAGCTGACGAGGTGGATAAGCCTCTCCTCCTCCCAGCCCTTTGCTACGTCCCAGGTGGCCACTGCTGATGTCCACAGTTTCGCTTGAGCGGAGGTGCTTCCAGACCGGCCACTTGAGCAGCTCTTGTGCGAGTCGAAATCGAGAATCATTTTTGTCACGGCACACACCTTCACTTGTCGCGTACAGACAGCGATTGTGCTGCAACACAAAGATAACTAAGCAGCTACAAGCACAAACACTTGGGACAGACTCAGTGAGCAGTAATCATCTGCAGACCTCAGCAGAAATACACAAATGCACATGCTCCGTGTGCGTGCGTGGCACGTGGACTGTCTTGCGCAATACCAAAAACAAAACTGACTCACATGATGTAGAGGAAAACTAAGAAATCGCATATTTACATGATTGTGTTGATGATTGTACCAGTACAATACTTGTACCCAGGTAACAAATGAAATACATGTACACTCTGTATCGTCTGTTACCTGTGTAAATTGACAGGGTGCCAGGACACTTCGGGTAAATAATTGGGATGCAAAGTTTAAAGGGGAAGTCCGGTGAAAAATTTAAATTTCAGGGTCGGTAGAGTTTCGGCCGCTGAGTCGAATGGTGTTGGTCCCACGTGTCTCCGACAAAGCGTTCTCGAGATATTTCCGTTTGAAAAACTGAGTTTCGGGGGCTGCGCCATGACGTCATGCGGCCGCGCCACACCCTCTGCAACGTCATAGCGTGCAGCTAGGTCAAAAGGAGTGCGTGAAAGCAATAGTGTCAGTGCTATTTCAAATGATTTGGCGCCTGATATTAGGTGGTGCAAGCGACCCCGAAGACATGTAACTCCGTGTGAGAGTGAGGATGCAGCCATGGCTGACCTTCACGAGTTCGGTCTGGGGCTGAGAACCTAGTCAGCTGAAGAAATGGCCGCGCGGGCCGGTCAAGAGTGAGCGCTACTGAGTTTCCGACTGATGAAGGAGCAGCAGCTATTGCAGACGAGGCTGATGTAATTATCAGATCGCTGGAGAGCAGGGTCGCCAAAATGGAGAAGAGTGATGCGAGTGCTCTAAATGTTGTTCCATACCGATTAGATTCGCTTAGACTCCAGTAGCCTGCCACATGGTGATGTTTTGGTGCGAACTTGGAATATTTCGGACTACTCAATTGGAGAACAGTGCAGGCTCTTTGAACCACGGGCACGACTCTTCGCTCGCAACGCTATGGAATCTGAAAGTTCTAGGTCCGAGAGCTGTTCGCTGTTTTGTCACTTGTCACGGTTGTGCACTCATCGCTGTAGCATAAAATAATGAGGCGCCGCGGGTGCGGAAAACTAAAATTTTCTTTCTCAAAGCACAACCACCGGCACCGGCAAGGAGAAACGCACGTTCTCTGACTACATGACTGTACGACTGATACGAGTGCAGTACATGACAAGTCCGTGTGTTGACTAGTTTTCTGAGTCTTGTGTCAGTTGTGACATGAGTTTGTTGACTGCACTACAGCTAGATAACACACTGCACGCACTGCATGCACGCAGCGCAGAGCGCATAGACCATGTAGACCATGGTAGACGGGCTAACGGAAAAGTCCAACTCGGAAACGGCCAAAATACGGTATAACCTCCAGGTTTACCGAGCTGAACATCACAGGGTACGTAGTGTTTGTAACACTGAATCGAATGGTCTTAGTCCGAAGAAGCTGCGGTAAACGGTTCCCCAATCGAACGCGCTCCGAATATGGCCATTTTTGTACACAACTAGATGGTGTGGCTACCTGGCTGCACGCTGTGACGTCATCACCTGGATCTGGGTGATGCGCGCTCAAATTCGCACATGTTCGATTGGGCGTATCTGACGAACCATAAGCCGTAGCCTCCTCGGACAAAGACCATTCGACTCAGCGCCCCGAACTCTACGGACTGTGAAATTTAAATTTTTCACCGGACTTCCCCTTTAATTCGAAAGGAAAAGTCATACTTGTTGGTCGAAATATCGGCTGTAGTCATATGTGTACAACCCAACAGTACGCTTGTACGTGAAATATAAACCGACATACAAACCGAGGCGAAGGCGAGGTTTGTGCGGAGGTTTATATTTCACGTACAAGCGAACTAGTGGGATGTATTATACTTATGCTGACCTTCATACAAACTGACAGTCAACTTCTTCCTGTTTCTATGGTAGAGGTCTATATGGGGTTTGTATGAGGTTTATATGCCCAGTATAAGCCGCCAGCATGATGGGCAAGTTGACTGGAAGTTTGTATGAAAGGTCAGCATAATATAGGATACTGCATAGCATACCAATGTATACACGGTGACTCGACTGTGCATAGACCATAGTACATGTGCATGCAAAAAGGAACGATCTAGACTACTTGAGGCTGACCTTCCAGTTCCCGACAGCACTGTAGGGGCCTAGTGATCCTAATGCTTCTGGATACTACTACTGTTCGTGACATGAATTGTAGAAGAAAAGAAAGGACAACAAATGTTACAAATCATGACTAGCTGTTCACCAATGCAACCAGATCGTATTCAGTCGGCTAGTGTGACTTTGTTGTCCTTCTTTTTTATCCATGATTACATTCGCTCAACATCCGAGTTCAATTGTGGAAGAGTTTTATTTTACTGCACCTTGCATTCATTTTGTCTCTTTTTCCATTCACAGGCTATTGGAGTCCCTGGACGAACTGGACGGAGTGCATGGACATCTGCGATAGCGGGGAGGAGAAGAGATTCCGCGAGTGTCTCAGCGACAACAGCACCGTCGTGTTTCCCGAGTGCGTCGGCGGCGGCCCCTACGTGGAGACTCGGTCGTGCGGAGTGCCGACGGGGCAAGGTGAGTTTCAGCACACCACACGTCTTCTGTTGAGGATACCTGTTGGTGCGGTCAATCTTGTGAACATCGACTCTTGATGTGCATGAGACGTGTGTTGTTGTCCACGAGTTGTTGTTGGTGATACCTGCTGATACTCCTAGATGTGGCCAGGAGATACATAGTGCGACTACCATCTCCACAAGGTCTTATACTACTGCCGTGGACATGGAAATCCAGTCGAACGACCCGGGCCAGCGCCCTCAGTGTTGTACAGAACGTCGCATGCAGTGCACATGTTGATCCGATGCAACCAGCGCGCTGCAGCGCATAAATGAATGTGTGTACCGGTCCGTTTGCGTAGTCACGGCTGCATCGCCAGCGCCCTGGGGCCACTAGACGTGCGACCGGATTTCCATGTCCACGATAGTACTTGGTTTCTGCTGAAAGACGTTCAGTCGTATGAGTAACCAAGTACTTAGTACGTATTCTGACAATAGCGAGAGTTCCCAGATTGCCTAGAGTGCTCAACACCACAAGGATGGAGCATTAGCACAAAGGCAGAAGAGAACAGAGACAGCCGGCTTGAGTTGTCTGAGGATTGCCTTAGCTTTGCTATGTGCATGAAACGCAGCGTTACAACAATGACCTAGCCGGCTGTCTCTGTTCTCTTCTGCCGCTGTGGTAAGTACTCTGATATAACATACTCTTGCTTGGTATGGACATTGTCTGTAGCACTAGGGTGTATTCATCCAGACTGAAGTAAGTTCCGATAACATAGATGTACATGTACCTCGAATACTAAGTACACTTTTCCGCTGCCCGTGAAGGTCTGTCTTATCCAAGCTCTACTGTGCCCTAGCTGAGACGCCCCGCTGTACCATAGAGAACACTGACATCTGCTTGGACTCTCTGTTACTTTGTGTATGAGTGGCACTGATCAGAGAAAGGTTACTTGTTGACACAGTATACTCTCATCTCCTGGAATATTTGCAAAGTTGAAATGGGAGAAGTCGAAGAAAAAATTGTCTGCCACCACCAGGACTCGAACTTGGGACCCTCACTTATACCATGGTCGGCGATGCTCTACCGTTAAGCTATGGTGTAGTGGTCATTCCAGCAGCAACCGTTCAGCACCCTGAAATATGTTCGCCTTGTGTGGTTTTGGTTTGTAGATCCCCTCAACTCGTACATGTATGCAGGCACGTCACACACGCTACCATCAGTATGACCATGGTCGTACCACTTTTCGTCCAGGATGATCCGCCCAGAGCGCCTGTTGGGTGCTAAACCGTGTCCTGTTGGTCGGAAAACTATGATCCCCCCCCCCCGCCCCCGCCCGGGACACCCCGACCCCTGATCGCACCACTCCCCACTGCCCTGTGATACCCCTGTACACAAGCAAGCTGGGCATGCCCCCCGGTGGTACAACTCCTCATTGCCCTGTGATGCCTCTGTGTATGTGTCTTGCTGTGTGCGACTTGCTGTATATGTGTCTTGCTGTGTGTGTGTGTGTTTCCCCCTCTCAGCGGCCAACACGGAGGTGCAGCTCTTTCGGCTGCCAGCGCAGGCTTTCGTCGGTGGCGTGTCCGTGCTGATCTGCTGCCTGGAGGCGGCCAGCGGCAGCACTCTGGAACGCTTCTTCTTCAACCAGCAGCAGCTGGTGAATCGCAGCGGCCTGTACATCTCCAGCTCTCTGCTGCGCTTCGACGCCGTCTTCACCACGCTGCAGGCCACCGACTCGGGGCTGTACGGCTGCCAGGCGATGGATCGACTGATCTCCGTTCGCAACATTGTCCTCACAGGTGAGTGTCATTGCGATGGAATAGCATTCTTTGAAAGTACAGTAAAACCTGTAACTAAAGACCACCGTGACTAAAGACCACCGTGACTAAAGACCACCATGACTAAAGACCACCATGACTAGAGACCACCATGACTAGAGACCACCGTGACTAAAGACCACCGTGACTAGAGACCACCATGACTAGAGACCACCATGACTAGAGACCACCATGACTAGAGACCACCGTGACTAAAGACCACCATGACTAGAGACCACCATGACTAGAGACCACCGTGACTAAAGACCACCATGACTAGAGACCACCGTGACTAAAGACCACCATGACTAGAGACCACCATGACTAGAGACCACCGTGACTAGAGACCACCGTGACTAGCGACCAGCCTGGTACTACAGACCACTTCGTCCGGCATGGACGGTCTCACGTTCACATACGGTTGTGCGGTGCAAACTTCTAACTAAGGACCACCTGCCGCTAAAGATCGCTTTCTCTGGCCCAAGGAGTGGTCGTTAGTCACGGGTTTTACTGTATGGGACCGTACCCTCTAAGGCGCGTGCCGCGTATGGGTTCCTGGGTGCCCGGAACCCTCCTTTTTTTGCTCGAAATGCAGGATTTTGCTTCATTTTTTGAAATTTTTCCCGGGGAGGTCCCCGGAACCCCCCCCCCCCCTTGAAAGGCACCGGCGCACGCACCTGCCTCTGTAACGCATGCCGCCATTTCCGTAAGAAACCGGCAGACCCACACTCCAGCAGGGTAACTTCCATTGCACTCACTGACATTCGACCCAACGTGATCAACTGGCATCCTGGACCAGTTTCGATTACAGTAAAACCTGTGTTGGCCGTACCCTGTGCCAAGTGGATTCCTGTAGTGAAAGGACTAATTTTCAAACACCAAAGTGCTGTGGATCGAACACGCATGCATGGGTCAAGCCGAATCCTTTCGCATCAGGGCAGGTTTTACCGCATATCAGTGGATTTGTACAAGTGGACGCCCAGCCACATTCGTATCACGTCTAAGGAGTCGAGGGCAATGCACGGTTGGGGCGCCAAATATGTACTTTGGGTTGGATTTCACCAAGCACAACTGTACTATTTAAGGATCATTGCCTGTTTGGTTGAATGACTATAAATAAAATATTAAGAACAGGATGTACTACGAGCTAAATTGATTATGACCAATATGCTTCCAGTATCAGTACGATGTATATGCCACTGCTGTTGAAGATGCCATGATGAGGTCTGCCACAGTACATGGCTTAGGAGAGACAGGTACTCTAGAGTGGTGTTCACATCAGTTGGTCATGTGACTCAACTTGTGCAGAAAGTGACCATGGCATGTGGACAGTGGAACCAAGTTACGACAATTTGAGCAGTGATGTGTATGCACTGCACAAACTGGCACAGTTGCACACGAGTAAACTCGTGCTTCGGACGTTAGGTCGTTTTTGAACACGAGTTAACTCGTGGTTCGGGCTCAAATGGTTAAGGCAAGCATCATGTGAGCCATGTACACAGAGGTTGGCAGGAGTGGAAGCAACAAGGATGTACCGTATGGTCATGTAGCCACTCGATATCAGCTCGATGATGTCAGTCAAGCTCTGTCATCACCAGGCGGAGAATTGTCTCTGCCCGTGATGGTACAGCAGGGCTGTAGCACCCGGTCCAGCAGGTCCAGCCAAGGCCGGACTTTATTCACGAAAAAGTTGACTAACCCAATTTACTCATTCACTGGTTTGAGGGAAAGACACAACCCCCTCCACACACCCACACCCAACCCAATTTATGCAAAATGTGTTTTTTGTCAATAATGTTCATTTCCAGTGAAGAATCTCATTTCGCCAGGCCACCTGAAGTATGGGTGCTACGGCCCGGTACAGCCTCTGTGTCACATGCCTGCTTGCCTCCATGTGAACAGTGAACAGAGCAAGCCTGTATCTCACTCACCTTCCTCCTTTGTTTACCAGTAAGAATACTGAGTGTGGGCAACTACTTCCGCGCCACCTTTCACCAGTCCGTTTTCTTTTTTTATCATGTCTCTTCTTTGCCAGTGAATGATCGGCCTACGACGGCAACGACAGAGACCCCGACAACAACAGCAGTGACGACAGATGCACCGGAACCACCTTCTAGTCCAACAGTCAGCACTACAACGATGGAAATTGCTGCAACTACTCAAGGAAGAGTAGGAGGTGACGGTGAGTGAGAATTTCACTTGCCTGAATATCACATCCATTGTGTCACAAATACTGTGCTGTGTGTGCTGGTGAATGTCTGAGAATGTGCGGGGTATGTGCTGCAGGGTGAGTTTGCGTGTGTGTGTGTGGGGGGGCGTGTGTATGTGTGTGTGTGTGTGTGTGTGTGTGTGTGTGTGTGTGCGTGTGTGTGTGTGTGTGTGTGTGCGCGGGTGTGTGCGTGCCTCTGTGCGTGCGGGTGGGCGCACGGGTAGGTTGTCGTATGGGTGCGTGGACATGCGGGTAGGTGTGTGTGTGTGCATGCATGCGTGGACATCCTTGCATCAGCATACCTGTACAAGTATCTGCAGGAGGAAACTGTTTGATATACTACACAATCAAGTTTCTTATCGGGGCACTCTGGGACCAAAATGCGGTCAAGACTGAGAATAATGCATAGCCCAAACCAATCGTCCTTGTTGATAAGTCAGATAAAGCCATAAGGCCGATTCCACACTACGCCGAAAGTGGCTTTGCCTTGAAGGCATAAAGTGGCGTATAAAGTGAAGCTGCATTCACACCTACAAGTGTCGATCACGGGACTTTGCTTTGAAGGTTAGACTGTGAGGCTTTCCTGTGCTTGATCTAGCAACGGCGGTAGTGGAGAGGCTCTTTGTTGGTCCAAATCCTCGAATATCACCCATTTTTGCGTGCCCAATCTTGAAATTTGACCACGCTAGCGCGCGCTGTGTAGGCGGATTCCAGATCATAGGTCGAATATTTGTCAACCTCGCCAACAGGCATTCCGGTGGCAGTTTTCGTTGTGTATGTCTCGTACAGTCCTTTCGCCTTCGTTTTCATGTTGTCGATTTTGGAATGGACGATCGATGCAGTATAGATTGCCTCCTCCCGGAGCTGTTCAGCAAACAAATTCAGCTTGATGGCGATCTCCTCCGGCGTAGCTCCTGCGAACTGTACCGCCCGGAGGTCGCCTCAAATGTCCGCTCCAAAGCTCAATCAGCTTGCCCTCAAGCTCCTGGCTAAACATGACCCTAGGCATTGTTGACAGCCCACAACTCACACAACTGAAAGATACGACAGGGAACACATTCGGAAAAAAATCGAAAGGCTGAAAAAAAGTCAGAAAAGTGTCCTGAAAAGGTAAAAAGTTGCCTTGAAAGAGGGTGCTGGTGTTGCTTTGTAGACAACAAGCACTTTTCACTCTCGCGCGTTTCTCAAAGTGATCGCGACGGCAACTTGCCTGAAAAGTGCCTGAAAAATGGCTTTTTAGACAGGATTTGGTGTAGTGTGGAATCGGCCTAACGCAGACGAAAATGATGATGTACCTTGTGCACCGAAGGACACAAATAATAGCTCACCTGAATCTGAAGTGTGCCCTGTTGAGAGAGTGGTCAATATTATTTTAGAGGTTACTGGTATGCGAATGAGGTCATAATTGTGAGGCAGTGGAATCGCTTATGGGCGTCATCTATACAGCACGAGTCAGCGGAACAGGTGTGTGCTATGTAAACAGTGTGAGTCGTCTAGGCATCACTGTGCCGAGACTTGCTAAAGCATCTCAACTGATGATGTCATCATAAAACCTGGTAGGAAATTGATGATGTAATCATAAAACCTGGTAGGAAATTCTGAGAAAGGAGAATCCAGGGTACTTAGTAGATTGTACAATTGGCATGCTAGTGCAGTATTTAGCACGTGTCTCCATGCCATCTCTATTAATCCGCGTACGTGTTTTGTGGGCTTGTTTGTGCGTGTGTGTGTATGTGTGTATTTGTGTGTGTGTATGTGTGTGTGCGTGATTGCATGTGTGTGTGTGTGTGTGCATGCGTATATCTTTGCATGTGTGTGCATTCCATGTGTGTGCATTGCATGTGTGTGCATTGCATGTGTGTGCGTGTATGTGCATGTGCACCGGGCAATGCATGTGTGTTTTGTACACAGGTTCAGGCGATGACGGAGGTACAAGCGACACTGTATGGATAGCAGTGTTTGTTCCTATTGGAATCATCCTGATTGTGGTGGTAGTAATCGTCTTTGCCGTTTTATGGTGAGTGGGTTTTACTTCGCAAAACAGTAGAACTGCCCCTCACTGGATGGCCTTGGTGCAGCGGAAACTGTCCTGAGATGCAGGATTCCGCTTGGTCAAGGGATGAACGTTCCATCCACAGCACTTTGGTGGATGAAAATGATACAGGATTCTGCTTGTTACATGGTCCGGCAAACACAGATCTGACTGTAAAAGCAGAAATTTTTGGTGGTGTTTTATTTTCGGTAACTTCGGTGCCGACAATTTTACCGAAGTTATAACGCACCGAAAATGTCGGTACTAGCACGCTTACCTGGAATACGAGTTTACCGAAAAATTCCCTCCACCTAACCACCAATTGTGTAGAATACCAAAATATTACACCAGCGAAAATTTCTGCTTTTACAGTACTGCACAGTAGGGTCCAGCGGATTCTGCCGGTAGAAAAATTGGCAGAATTCGGTACTTTTTCTGGTAAGTTTCATGCATGTTTGGTATTTTGGATAAAGAAATGGAGCAGAATTCGAGGAATTGCCCGCCATAAGGTTTGTATGGTTCTGCCAATTTCACTGCTTTTCGAGCAGAATCTGCGATCTTTTCGAGCAGAATCTGCCGGTCCCTACTACACAGTGAAGCCTGTCTAAGGTGACTGCTCAGGGGACTTACGATTTGAGATCAGTTGCCGTGTACAGGTGGTGTTCTTGTCCAGGGGCATTGAACCGGGAATGCCATGTGTGTGTGTGTGTGTGTGTGTGTGTGTGTGTGCGCGCGCGTGTGTGTGTGTGCGTTTGTGCGTTTGTGTGTGTGTGCGCATGCTTGTGAGTGCGGCCGATTGAGCTAGTCATATTTCAAAGATTCCTTCGGAATCTCTCTTCCCTCTCCCAAGGGAAGAGACAAGCTGGCAGTGAGCAAGTGTGCGTGTGTGTGTGTGTGTGTATGTACACGTTTGTGCACGTTTGTGTCTGTGTGTTCACATGTTTGCATGCATACGTGCATGGTGTGGCTTTGAGCACCTATATCCTGTTCTTTTGTTTTTTCCTTACCGGCCCCCGCCATCGATTAACTTCCAGTTTTCTTCTGGTGACTGTCTAAAAGATACAATTTCATTTTATAATAATTTTACTATTCCTGCTTTTCTGTTGTGATGTCATAGGCATAAGCGAAGTCATCAAGTGCTAGTGGGTAGAAGGTGAGTTCTGACATATCTAGGCTAACACCTATGACTGTTTTGCACGAGATTAAGACAGTACAATACTCGCTATTCGTATTTCCCGCTCCTTCACCATAGCAATGCGATCCCATCAAGTACAGAAGAGTGCATGCTCCAGTGGTTCTCTAGTCTTCATTCTAGTCTTCGTTCTTGTCTTCTTCTCACTCTTGTCTACCCTCTTGTCTTAATACTATTTTATTGTTGATAGGAGCATAAGCGGTGAGGACTCGGTGCAGAAGATCGAGGTTATCACGGCACGGCGAGTGTCACTGACCAAGACCAAAGAGCACAGTCAAGCGTGAGTACTCTGCGATAGAATGCTAGTGTGCATGTGCATGGATCAGCCGCGCTTACCCCAAACTGTTTCACGTTGCTGAGGGCGAAAAGCCTCACCATCACTATGCTCGGTCCCATAATGCAATTGTTCTCTTTGCCTGTGAGCTGTGATCATTGTAAAAAATATGAATTATATAAAACATTGCAGTTGGCTTTGTCATCTTCTTATAGGCTATGAACCCCAGGTGGCTACTGTACACAGGCTAAATACACCAAGCTAACAGCTCTGACTATGTTGAGCCTCTACCAGACCTACAACTCTAGCAAGAGAAATCCAACCTCATCAATATTGTGTTTGTGTGCACAGAACAGTGTTTGTAGTGCTAGGGCTGTATACATTATATAATAGCGCCCGGCGCTACTATTACATTCACGAGGTTGAACTTCTCTGGCTAGTACCGTGATTCACATTAGTTGGACCGGAGGTGGTGGCATGTTCACAACTCAGCAACCTAACGTGGTAGTCTTGAACCGTTCTCCTTTTTGTTTTTTTCATGATCTAGTTTGCCTTGATTGGCTACCGCATGGCTTCTCGTAATAATTTAGCAGTTTTACAGCGATCCAAGAGATGTTAAATTAAGAAATGTATAGATATTAGGATATTTCTCTGTGAATTCCTTTGTTTCCATCATAGAGTAGCTAAAGAATATGCCTGTCTCCACATGCATCCTCTGCTCTCTATTTACAGACCCACCGATCGGCCGCAGTCTGGATCATTTGAGTGAGTTAATCCTGTATGCTTTGTGCACATGTGTGTGTGTGTGTGTGTGTGTGTGTGTGTGTGTGTGTGTACGTGTCTACGTGTGTGTGTGCGTGCACGCGCTTTTTGTGGAAAGAAGCTGGCATTTACAAGGCAAAGTTTGCCGTCAACGTGTTAACTTCTTTCTACTTGTCTTGAAGCCATGTTCAATTAAACCTACGCATTGAATGTCCGTTGCCAGGGACCTTTGCCCTCGGAGCAAAACATGTCATTGCCTCACATTGTCAAGGCTTTTGAGATAGAAAAAATAAGAAAGCAGGACGGGAAATGAATTTGAGACCTTTCCTTTCTGTGTGTAGTGTTTTGATGAGGTGCTGAGCAGCTTCAAGCAAAAGCTTGATGCTATGTTTCTTCCCCTACGCCCGACCAATGCACACACACGCACACATGCACACACACACACACACACACACACACACACATACATACACATATACACACACACATACACACACACACACACACACACACACACACACACACATGTAAACACACACATGCACACACATGCACACATACACATACACACACACACACACGTGCGCGATTTGTGGTGTGGACATCACCTACTTCGTGAAACCCCCACCGTGGGTGATTTCTCCCCCCCCCCCCCCCCGGGCACAACAACTGCTTGACAAGTTTTACATCTTCTTTGTGTGTATTTCCTCTTCTGCTACGCAGACCTGGATGGAAACCCACAGATGTCTAACCTGTTGATTTCAAGTCAAGAAAGACCTAAGAGAGCCATGTGTATCTTGAGACTACTACTCCATTAAGCCGTTTGGCTCAGCGATCCGACTCGAGAGTTTCTCAACTCTGATTGTGGGGACTGAGCATGGATGTGATGATTTCCACAGCCTCCGCTCATCCCTGGTGAGCCAGACGCAGTGCCAACGTCCGCTTGTGTTCTGAAGCTGACAACTACTCGATTCTTCTCCTGCGGATACCGTATGATATGAACTATCTCGCACACACATGCGTGTGTGTGTGTGTACATGTGTGTGTGTACGCATGTGTGTGTATGTGTGTGTGTGTGTATGTGCGTGTGTGTGTGTGTGTGTGTTTGTGTGAACTGTACGAACGGTGAAGAAGATACTGAAGTAAATTCCAGTGCTCTAGGCGCACAGTCTGAGTCGAGTATGCAGACTGCGACATTTTATTTATACAAAAATCCGGACCAAAAAAAGACCGCTTCCCATCCCCCGACAGCTTTTGAATAACGGATACTGAAGTAGCCACCTGTGTCTATCGGACTATCTCCTCTTGCATCAAACGTATCTGTATATTGCTCAACATATTCCAGACTGGGCTTTTCTTGTTTTTGGTGCAAATTCCGTGCATGCCGGTGTGTATATGTGTGTGTATATGCGTTTGAGTGGACAATGCGTATGTGTGCGAACGTGAGCCCGCGAGTGTATGCGTGAGTTTTTGCGCGTGTGTTTGCGCGTGTGTTTGCGAACGCACGGGATCATGACCGGCATACCGCGTCCGTTGTCTCTGCGCGTTTTGCAGGTTCATCGGGAGTGGTTAACCTTAAACCGGTTCTCCCCCTGTTGTGTGTTCGCATGGTGAAAATTTAAAATCTTCTGAAAAGTGATCCGAATATGGTTGCAATGTTTAACTCTTTGCTTTGCTTTTCGCTATATTTTTAAAGTAATTTCTTAACATCTTCCCAAGTGGTTAACTCCAAGCCTAAGCCATCATGTTTCTGCACATATCATGTTGCTGCACGTTTTATTGAACACTTGAATAGTCGACATCACCTCACACTAACCCGAATGCATCACAAAGCCAAAGATTATCTCTAGACTCTGCTGAAGTTGACGTGCTTGTGGTGTGTTGATTAGGCGTGTGTGTATGTGTGTGTGTGTGTGTGTGTGTGTGTGTGTGTGTGTGTGTGTGTGTGTGTGTGTGTGCATGCGTGCGTGTGTACATATTTCTTGGCGGTGGCTGGGATGTTGGTGGCGAAGCTGGCTCATTTGGTGGTTGTGTGTGTGTTGGTGTGTGTGTGGGGGGGGGGGGGGGGGGGTAGCCTGTGGAGGCTTGATTCCACTATGCCGCCTCATTCCACCTTTGCATGCCTTTGCGGTCTGATAATTCGCAGCAAGTAGATGCCTACAGAGAAGTACATGATTGTATGTATTAGAGTGTTTACTTGTTTTTTCAATTTCGAACGTGAGAAAATATGTGCGTTAAATCTTTTTTTCACCAGGAGTCGGCCTTCCGTCGCATTGAAATCTCACGTTGCAACGTGAAAAGCGCCATTTCGGCCGCGTGGAATCTCAAGTTCTAAATTGAAAAAACGCGTGAAGCACAAACTCTCTATTGAGCCGAGTCACTGACATGGTGTATGGCGTAACCATGGTGTAACCAAGGTGTAACCATGGTGTTTTGTCAACACGCACACAGTCACCAATGAGCCATTGCATGCCTGTCTGCTCGTCATGGCCGGTGGTGTTCAGACTCACCGCGCTCACCGAACTGTACCTGGGTATTGCCAAACTGGAGCAACGGGTTGGTTTTCAGACTCGACGCTCACCGAACTGACTCTGTACCTGGGGTATTGCCAAACTGCAGCAACGGGTTCCCGGCACCTAACCCACTTAATTACAGTGAAACCTGTCAAAGCGGCCACTCTGATAGAGCCACCACCTGTTCCAGAGGACTACCACAACAACTCCAGTGGTGTAGAATCAAGGCCAGGGATGTTCCCGTAAAACCTGTCAAGGCTACCACCGTCGAATAAGGCGACCACCTGTCCCAGAAGACCACAGAAATCAGGACCAAGGGATGCTATTTTCAGTCAAATGACCCTGGATACGGAGACCACCTGGTGACAGAGACCACATTTTGAAGGTCCCTTGAGCGGTCGTGTTAGACAGGATTCACTGTATTTCCCAGCAAATGACCCTGAACAAGGGGCCACCTCTACACGGTGACCACACTTGTATTCAAACGCGGAGGTGGTGACTTGTACCCACCATATCATACACACAACGTAGAAAGGACTGGGTTTGGCCGAACCAATCAAAACCTGCTTCCGCCGCCGTTTATGTGTTAGGAGGATAGGCAACAGTTTTCGGCCGGTCCATCATTAATTTTAGTGCTGACCCATGAAGAGTAAGGTAGTGCTGACATCACACTAGTACATGTAAGGCACCCTGTACTGTGCTCTAGCCCGTAGTCGAAGTTTTTTTCTTCTCTTTTTTCTTTCTACAAAATCCACATATCTCCAGACACTGGGGTGAATAATGGAGTGTGGTGGTGGGGCCCAGTCTGAGGGTTCACCCCAATATTCAGTGTGCTGTGAACCGACCGCACCTGCCTGAGTATTAGATTATCAGGTAGTTGCATACAGCTCCCTGCACGATCCACATTGTTTATCTGGAGTACTGGAATTTCACACATTTTCGGTGTATGTTTTTCAGTACTTCCGGTGCATGTGTTTCATATCCAAAATTTCAATACACCGAACAAACACTGACACACATAATCCAATAGGGAACTGCTTCTCTGAACGTACACCGAACAAACACTAACACACATGCATGCACAGTAAAACCTGTAACTAAAGACCACCGTGACTAGCGACCAGCCTGGTACTACAGACCAGTTCGCCAGGCACGGACGGTCTCGCATTACTATTATGGTTGTGCTGTGCAAACCTCTAACTAAGGACCACCTGCCATTAAAGACCGTTTTCTCTGGCCCCAAGGGGTGGTCGTTAGTCACAGGTTTTACTCTTCATGTAATCCAATAGGGAACACTCAACTGCTGCTCTGTACCTAAATTTCTGTTCACCTAACCTGGGCTTTTTCCCCTCATGCCGAAAATATTGAGCACCGAAATTTGGAGAAATTCCGAAATTGGAGTAGTTTCGCGCGACTGCGCTACTTCATTTTTACCATTTGAAGTACTTCTCTGTATCTTCTAGCTATTCAGACTAGTAGCTATGCCATAGTATCGTCAAGTATGCCTCAGTCAAGTCACTATGCTCACAAGATCAACAAATATTACGAAATTGTAAAGTTTATGTACAGACGAACACTTACCATTTCTCTCCGTTCAGCGGTAGACTAGACTAGTCTAGAGGCGAAGAAGCCTTCGGAAAGAGGTGTGGGTCGTTGATGCTTAGTCTGCGGAGCTGCATAAAACTCTGCCTGTCATCTGAGAAAATAACTTGAAGTTCATAGTTGTGCATCTGCGTTTCAGAGGAAAGTTTCCTGTCCGGTTTTCGAAACATCAAATCAAATCAACCTAACATGCGCTAAACAGCTTGCGCGTGCAAGGACACCCCGTCCCCGTCCCGGGCATGCGCGCAGGTGTTCAATAATCCCGCGCATGTCAGTGTACATGGTGTAGGTAGCGGCTAGCTCACGCCACACTGTCTGTGGTTCTCTGCTCGTCAAGTTTTCTTTTCCTTCAGTTCCGAAACGAAAGCGCATTGTAAGTGTCAAAGCTAATTGCGGCCGCCGCTGTCCTTGACGCAGGTTTTTGACCAGGACTAAACCTCGGTGGATGAGCTAAGCTGTGGTGTATTCGTAGCCAAAGTCGACGATTGTTGTTCTGTTGCGTTCACGATAATAACAATGCTGCTGCCGCATGCGATTGCAGTGCTATTCTTGACGGCATCTCTCCAACCATGCGACTCGTCCGAAGCATCCGGGACCAGAGGTAGGGAGATGATGGTTGAGTTGTTTTATGTAGCTGTGGCAAATATTCAAGTCCAAGCCGATGTCCTTGTACACTTGCGAAGGCCACAGGGCCTCGAAAATCGTGAGCGCCTTCCCACTCCTGAACATAATAATTATTATTATTCCCTTCCGAAGTTCGAAGTATGTAATCAAGCACGCTCAGGAGGTCATGGTGGCTGAATCTTGCCCGAGCCTGCCTTGGCGGATAATGCTCGAAAAGGTGGCAGATTCTGCTTTTTTTGCACCGAAATTGGCAGAACCATACAAACCTTATGGCGGGCAATTCCTCGAATTCTGCTCCATTTCTGTATCCACATACCAAACATGCATGAAACTTACCAGAAAAAGTACCGAATTCTGCCAATTTTTCTGCCGGCATTATCCGCCAAGGCCTAGCCTGCAGCCCAAGGGCCGTAGGCCCGAGGTCTGCAGACAAGGGCATGATTCAGCCATCATGACAGACAGAGCGTGCTTGATTTGATTTCTTACAGCGCGAAGCAACATATTAGGGAAGGTCAAAGGCCGAAAGGTCGAAAAATTATTCCCGAAATGACGTCAAATGGTCCTGACATTCCCGAAATGACGTCAAGCGGTCCTGAAATTTCCGAAGGGACGTCAAACGGTCCTGATGGCCTGATTATGCCCGCGGCGGGAAGACCACCTATTGGCCAATCACGTGACATGTAAGAAAATATTGTTCGTTCTCTGCGATGTCGCCCGGTCTGATGGCCAAGACACATTTGGTGTTTTCTTCATCTGTTGTGCTCAGGGCTTTCAGCCCGGAAATGCAGAGTTTTTGCAGCTTCTTGTCAAGGGATCGGGGTTTGATAGTAACTGTTGGCTAGTATCAGTATCGAACTGTGTAGTGTAGAACGAATACACGAGGTGATAAAAGTCGGCTCCCGGTTCTCAGTGGGTGCATCAGTAGGGATTAGACTTGTCATAAGTGTCACCGCATGTGCTCGGCGCCCAAGATCTTGCGTATGCAGTGAAACCTGTCTAGGACGACCGCTCAAGGGACCTTCAAAATTGTGGTCTCTGTCACCAGGTGGTCTCCTTATCCAGGGGTCATTTGACTGAAAACAGCACCCTTTGGTCCTGGTTTCAGGGGCCTTCTAGGACAGGTGGTCGCCTTGACAGGTTTTGCTGTACATGTAAGCATGCTGGATTGCCCTTGGACCGGGATGGCTCGTCCGTGCTGCTTCCCGATTGTGTGACACTAGTACAAGGTAGTATAGTCGACTCCACTTATAACGAGCTCGTATATTATAGCGAATTTCGTGATATAGCGAACCATTGTCCATGTCCGCGTTTGAACCCGTACAAAATTGACCCTTTCAAGAGCGAACAGTTTTCGTTTATAACGAACCAAATCTTGTAGGGCCGCATGTAAACCAAGCGCATGTCAGGGGCCACTTGCCAGTCATGACTTGCTGCTTGCATAATGTGAGTGCATTTCTGTTATAATGAACTTCGGCTATAAAAATTAAATTCTCCTGCACAATGGTGTTCGTTATATGAGGAGTCGGCTGTACTACCATTGTTGGTACTCAAAGCTTTATTTAGGGAAAACCACAAATTGTGGTCCAGAACACCAATAAAATAATCACTGAAATGCAGTATTAGAACCGATAAAAATTGTACTACCATTGTGGGTAAACCCTGGTCTAAAGCTGTGTTCACAACTGGCGCGTGTACGCATGAAACCAAGCGTTTGTGCGTATTTTTGCTGGCTTTTGGAGCACCATGCATACGGAAACGCGCCGAAATGGAAATTCCAACATGTTGGAATTTCAGCGCGTATCAGGCGCGCACCAGCGTACATGCCAGTCACTTTGACTGGCGGGGTCTAGAATTAGTACTCGAAGGTGTCGCACGCGCTAAATACGACTCGGATTGCTGTTTTATGTGAAAGCTTGAGCGCGCGTTTTGGCGCGCATGAACCGCAAGCGTACCGCGTCCACGCGCCAGTTGGGAACACAGCTTTAGACTTGAAAGAAGGGACTCAGGCCTCTACCCCGTCTGAACCTACCGCTGACAAGCACTGGCTAATTATACATTGTATAAAGCACATAATTATAATGATGTCATTGCCATACGCGATGATGTCATCATGGCACGCATTGACGTCATTAGAGAGGTTATGCAAAACGAAAATGCGTACAAACTTTCGCTCTGCGTCATGAAGTGGGAAACTTCGCACGAACTTTCGCTACTTTGGATGCGAAACTTGCAGGGAACGCGAAATGAACTTTCGTAAGAAATTTTGTGAGATGTGGTCATCATAGCCATGGTGTGCATGCACTTGGCGCGTTCAAACTACGAAAATGTACAGAACGCAAAGTTCGTGCGAAATTCGTACACACTTTCGCAAGGACCGTCGCGAAACTTCGCTCGAATTTTCGTTCTGCAGATCCTCTCTATTGACAAGATATGATGTTGTCGTTCATATTATTATTACTGTATTATATACAGTGGCAATGTGCTGTTGATCCATCCCAGTAGTGTGTCCCTGATCAGCTGATCCACAGGAGTTGGGAAATAGATCAAGGCTGCGCGTGTGCAGTGCAATGGGCATGCGTGCGCACAGACATGTGGGTTTACAATTTTACATGTACATGTATGTGCTGTGTGTGTGTGTGTGGGGGGGGGGGGGGGGGCAGGGGCGTCGGAAGGTATTTTAGTGTGGTGCGGTCAGTCATCTGAAGTACAGTTTACTCGTGTGGGAGGGATGGCGGAGAGGAAATTTTTGGAAATTTAGAGTCCAGATCAGTGTATTTTATTGATTCACGGGGTACCTAGGGCAAAAAGTGGTACGGTCAATACCGTAGTGACCGTACCGTGTCCGACGGCCCTGGGGGGCTTGCGTTTGCGTGTTTAATCTATCCGCGTATGTCCTTGTACACACGCCTCTGCTTTTCTGGTTTGCACTCTACCCCACACATGCAGCGTTGACGTTGGCTTATCAAGAGGCACCCACTGCTGGTCAAAATGTCCCCATGGGACTAGCTGTGCCCTCGGCTACAGTGCCAGCTGCCATAGTTTGGAGCTCGGGTATAGAGGGAAGCGGTCATCAAGATATCGGAAACATTGCCTCCTCCCCTAGCAACATTGACCCGGCCTCCACTACGATCACAGTACAACTCGGAACCACTGGGAGACGGGGTGACCACAAGGGCAATGTGCCCGGAGGCAAGAAGAAGGGGATGAGCGGACGGCTGATCGCAGTAGCTGTCATACTTCCAATCATGTTCATCGGTAAGTGAGCATCATGCTCGACAAGCCCATATTGGTCACCTGTGCACGCAGAAAGGGTGGAACTGTCCCTGTTGTATTCCTTTGCTAAATACCTGCCACAGTAGCTAATGCCATGTTTGACAGTGGATCCGTACTACTGATCTCTAGCTGACTATCATTTCCAGTACATACACACTTTTTTCTCTCTTTTTTCCTCCGTCTTTGCTACCTTGTTACTGGGAAAGAAATTTCCATTTGGATTCTGGGAAGTAAAACAAAGTTAAAAAAAGAATAGGAGTGGGAACAGCATATACACCTAAAACAAAATGTAGAGGCACACATTTACACTTGCTCAATGCCAGTAACGGGTTAGGTATGACTGTGACCAGGAGAGACCAGTGAAAACTGCACGGACCTCACTCATCTGCATCATAAAACAAGCGGGTTTGTCAAAGCATTTCGGCATGAGCTACCTTAAAATAAAATGGAGTGTCGGAAAGATGACCCAGTTGGCTATTGAACTGCCCTGTGGCCATCACCCCCCTCCTCGGATATCTGCACATCATGGTTGAACTTGAGAATGACTCCACTTCTGCACATGCACATGCACATGCACACACACACACACACACACGCACGCACGCACGCGCGCGCGCATGCACGCACGCACACACACTACTACTACTACTATTGACAGCTGCCAGAAATGGCCACGCCGCTCCCCGAAGGGAGGTACTGTCAGAGAGGTTAGGGGAGAGGTAGGCAGTTCTTCAAATGGCGCTCCAGGTCCTTTCGCCTCCGAAACTGGCGTTGATTACAGACTCGGCAACGATGTTCAAAGTGCTGGCGATCAGTCACTGTAGGGCGTTTCGGGCGGGGTTCACAGCGATGGCGTTTTAGGCCAGCAGTAGACTTGAAAGTACGCTGGCAGGCTGTACACACTGGGACCTCGGCAACAGGAGGAGCATCACTAGGCGGTCGGTCGTCACAGTTGTCACTCTCTTGGCACTTATGCACTGCAAGCCCACCCCTGCTCCGGAGCCATCTACTGCAGGCAGGACACTGCACTGACCCAGGCTGTTGTGGTACGGGGAGCTGTCGGACTGCTGTGCACTTGTGCCGGGCCATGTCAGCGCGACGACGAAACAGGCGGCCGCAAACGTGGCACACAATCGTCTTCGGGGCAGGCTCCTTCACCCCCGCTGCTGCCGACACAATATCACGCCACTCTCCGCGATCATTGGCCGATTGGAACCAATTGTGCACGCCGGCCACAGTCAGATCAGCCTGGACAACGTCCTTCCAGCGATGTCGGGGGCCGCAAAACGGGCGGGTTCGTGGGAGATGAGGGAAGAGCAACTGCTTGGGTAACCGATTGTCATCAAGCCGAGCTAGGTGCCACTCCAAGCGTCTTCGCTGTACCATGCACGACAGTGGAGTAGGGTCACCCCACTGTGTGCGTAGTTGCTCTGATGTAATGTGTTGCTCCCACTGGCGGCCGCGCGAAATGCCAAGGATTGACCGTAGGTTGGCGTGATGGAACCTGTCCAGCTTGTCCAAATCCGACTTCAATGGGGTCCAACATTCCGAGCCATACAAACCGTGGTGAGAACACCTACCACGTACACACACACACACACACACACACACACACACACACACACACACACACCTGTCCTGTCCTGTAGAGTCACTGCCGCAAAAGGGTCACGTGATCCCATCACTGGGAAACTTGAGAAGAGAGAGAGAGAGGACACGACGCCCGATGACGCTCCAGGTGCACGGGTAGTCGCATCCGCTTGCCACATATGCACACGTGCTGAAAGGCTGAGCGCTCCTCTGCTGTTGGTCTATGTGCCACCCTTGAACAGCGATGCCTTCCCCGTCCCCGGACACCGCGAAAGCAGCGACCACACCTGTCACAATGCGCGGCACAACATCCCTCCGCCGGTGCCGACGTTCCGGTAGTTCCAGGTGGCACTGCGGCATCCACCGTTGTGGAACTACCACACACACACACACACACACACACACACACACACACACACACACACACACACACACACACACACACAAACACACGTGCATGCATATACACACCCATACGCACACACACCTTGAACCTTGAAACTGCCACCTAAAGGTGATGCAGTGCCTCAAAGAGGCAAGGAGGGCAGAGTTACTTCTTGCATTTGTGTTGAGCCAGGTACTGGAGACGTGTGAACTTCCGAGAGCAGGTCGGGCATGGGATGGTGCGGCGCTCAGAGCCAGAGCTGCATGTTCTGCGGTTGGAGTTGCAGTTGTGCCGGCGGTGCCCAGCTTTGCTCCGGAAACAGCGGTCACAGGTGTGGCAGTGGTAATGACATTGGGTGCAATCAGGTGGGCGAGGTGCAACAATCTCTGGAACTGGAGCGTCACCAAGACTGGGAGAGCAGCTGTGCACAGCAAATCCACCTCGGCTAGCAAACCACCGATGGCACGTTGCGCACAACACAGCACCGGCCTGTTCATGGATCGGCTTCAGTCGCTCTTCCCTGCATTTGTGCCGCCGAAGTCCGCTTTCCCTGGCGAAGAGTCGCTCACAGATCGCACAACACACTGACTTGGCTGTCGTTTCAAGGCGTAAGCGCCGTGCAACAATAGCATCCGAGATGGACTGGATCCACTCGCCACGTTCAGCTGCGAGGTCGTACCAACCGGTGTATAGACCGAACGCCTTGAGGTCATCGCGTACCACATCACGCCATCGACGCCTGGGGCCATGAGCAGGGCGTGGAGTATGGAGCCACGAGAACAACACTGTCTTTGGAAGCCGGTGGTCGTCCATCCTGGCAATGTGGCCAAGCCACTGCAGCCGTCGACGGGCAACCATGTCAGCAACTGGCTCTGTAGCGCACATTCTATGCAGCGAGGCAGATGACAGGTGGTCCTCCCACTGTTTGGAACGCGAGATGCCGAGAATGACACGAACGCAGCGGTTGTGGAATTGTTCAAGGCGACGTATGTCGGCACGCAACAGTGTCCAGTTCTCAGCCCAGTACAACAGCACCGACAACACACAGCATGTGTACGTGTGTTGTTTCGTCTTGGATGTTAGTGAAGTGTTCCGAAAAACTGACGAGTAGAGGCTGCCGAAGGCCTTAGATGCAGCAGCTATGCGATTGGACACATCGGTGTGGCATCGTCCGTCTGGTGTTACCACTGAGCCGAGATATGTGAACTGGCTGACATGCTGGATGGCGTTGCCTTGTACGCTTAGCGGGGTACGGTCACTGTCGTTGATCTGATGCCCAACAGCCATGAACACTGTCTTTGCCATGTTGAGAGACAGCCCGAATGCTCCACTGACCTCCGCAAATATCTCAAGCATACGCTGAGCATCCGAGTGGCTGGGTGCAAACAAGGCTGCATCATCAGCAAACTCACCATCTGTGATGACCATATCATTACCACGCTTAGATCTCTTGAAAAGCTGACCATCGGCACAGGTACGGAGTGGAAAACCAGACACTCCACGCTCTTGGACGCGTGCGCACCAACGTTCCATCACTGCACTGTAAATATAGAGATAACACTGTGGTAAATCGACTGCTTTTATTGTTACACTAGTTCTGACGATATTAGTTATTTGATTGTATTCTTACTTTGTAGCTGCGTCCAGGCTCGTTGGAATTCTCATCACGGACTCCATTCTAGTTTCGAAGAGATATATATTCTTGTCCAATTGTTCTCAACAAATTCCTCGTCGTGTGCATTTGTTCTCAAACAAATTCTTCGTAGTATTTGCAGTACGTAGTCTCGCGCTCTTTGATTTGTTTGACTCGCGCGTGACTTTCCTTTCTTTTCTTTTTGTCATGTATGACGTATCGGTATGACGTGAGTGTGTACGCACTCTGTTTATGACCACGTGACTGCATGCTCACGTGGAACTACAGTCAGTAGGCTAGTGCATTTTAGCGACTGCAGCGATCCGATCTTCTTGCTGCAGCGCTGTTTCTTCTTCACTTGTGTCTTTTCTTTGGTCGCTGCACTAGTTTGTGATTACCATGATTACGCGTCAATGGACGACATGGTCGCCATTTTGTGCATGTCCTTTTTCCTGATGGATCTTGGATCTCGTGGAAAAAGAACAGTTTTCTTTTCTCCCAACTTTACCACTATTTCAATATTTCAACTCTCTTGATTCCTTGTTGATAGTTGTGGCTCAGTGCATGTGCGAGTGTGCTGGAGTGCTAGCTGGAAGAGATAGAGAGCATAGTGGTGGAGTAACAACGTGGTGCCGAAACCCCGCTGGTTTGGACCGGAGAATACGAGCGTGGTTTCGAATTGGAATTTTCTTGAATTCGTAAATTGTGTCCGGATCGATCGTTCACGTGTCGTGTGTTGTTCGCTGAGCACTGGTAGAGTGCTGACGAAGCGTGCTGTTGTGGCCTGGTAGTCGATGCCTCCTAGACTTAGGAACGCTCGAGGCAGGGGTATCAGTAGCACACCGACAACTCCACAGGCGCCTGGACATCGTGATCGTGACATTGAAAATTTGTTGACTCCTGGGAGTCCTGAGGATAGTACATCCGTGGTATCCAGGCACAGTGAAGGTGGTGCTGATCATACTAGTGTTAGTGACAGTGCGTCTTCTGTCAACAGAGAAATGTCGTCACTTAAGTTGGATGGATTCGTGAAGCCGTATCGTGGCCGAGTGGACGACTTCGACATGTTTTGGTCGAAGTTTGAAGTACTGGCAGATATATCGGGGTGGACAAGCACGGAGCAACAGATGAAACGGTTGCCGCTGTTCTTGGAGGGCGAAGCCCACCGTGTGTTCTCCAAACTGAGTGAGACGGAGAAGCGAGATAAGGATGCAGTGAGGAGCATCCTGCGGAAGTCCTTCTGCGTGAGCCGCAGTGAGGCGTACCGCTTGTTTAAGCAGCGGCAGCTGAAAGTGGATGAAAGTCCAGAGGTATATGTTGCCGAGCTGTGCCGTCTGTTAGAGCTGTCTGGACATAAGAGTGACAGCGATACCG